AGGGATGACAGCTTGAACTCAGATGGTGGCAGGAAAGATGAAAAGAGTAGAAAGACTGGAGAAATATTCCAGAAGCAGAAGCAATAGCACTGAGGACAGACTACTCATGGGAAGTGAAAAAATAAGGTGTCTAGATGGCCACCCAAATCTTGGCTGGGGTATATGATGGCTGGGCCAAGTGCCCAACTAGGGAGGTCTTCATATCCTAGGACCATTGGGTCTGAGAATTTCTAAGATGACAATGACTTTAAATCAAATACAAGATTTTTATCCCCAAATAACTGATATATTTCTCAACCTTCCAAACATTTTTATAAATCAATATATCTTTTAAATCTTCTCAACTTACTGAAGACCAAACCTTTGCCACTATCATTTTCTCATGCTCTTCATTTACATCAGAACAGTAAAAAAATATGGGCAATAATCTCCTATTTTCACTTAAAGTGTTTCACAAAAAAAAATTATTTTCTATAGTAAGCTACATCCCAAAGAGGCTTTTCAGGAAAGGCTGTCAAAAATATATTGTGCCACTCACTTGCAGTTATGCACGATAAGAACAACAAATGGCTCTTTAGAGGTGTAACTTCATAGCTATCTTTTCCTTAAAGAAAAATAAGATCTTCTTTAAGTAGGATAAAACTTTGTATTTTTTTAAATTTTTTTTATTGCTTAAAGTATTACAAAGGGTATTCATATGTGTCCTTTTTTTTTCCCCATCCTTGACAATCCCCTGGCCTCCCCTACTCCCCAGGGTCTTATGTCCATTGGTTATGCTTATATGCATACATACAAGTCCTTCGGTTGATCTCTTACCCCCCTCCCTCCTGCCCCGCAACCCTCCCCAGCGGATAAAACACTTTTTAAAAAATGATTTAACCAATGCTAATTCTCTAGAGTAAATAATTTTACAACAGTTTTAGGAATCTCAAATAAAATATGACAGCTGATACCAAAAAGATTCTAAAAATTATTAGAAACTAATACATAAATTCCCTATTTAACTGTTCAAGAAAAATACCATTTGTTGAGTATTTATCAAGAGCCAAATAAATCATAAACATTTTCTCATTTAATCCTAAAATTTTTATGAAGAGATTGTAAAAATAAAGGAAAACCTCATTCAAAATGGAGTCAGGAGCCATGAAGAAAGAGCTCTCATGCGCACACTACTCATCCTAAGTTTACATACTCCAGCAGGAAGAAGCTTACTTTACATTCCATACAGGAAGAAGGAAAATTTATCTCCTTGCGCCACAACAACTCAGCCAATGAGAAGCTGCCACAAGCCCAAACTCTCACTCTTCTCCAATAAACTTTTGTTCAGTATCACCCATCCCATCATCCTCCCCTCCTCTATCAAAGCACGCTCCTCCTATGTTCTCCATACTTGCCTACGGTTAACTATAGTTTGCTTGTCCCAAATGGCATTTCTTCTATTATACCCAAATAAACTCAATTTTCCTGGCTAAATCATTTACCTTTCTGTCTTCTTAAAATTTAGAAGGGGAAAAGCCAGATCACTTGCCCAATTGAAGAAAACAGTTGTTTTCATTTGGGAGACTTCAAATGCAGACGTCTGGAATTACCTAGTGATTGGCAATACTAATTCTATAAACTTTAAACATACATATTTATTAACAAACAATACTTACTGATACAAGCCTCTTTTTAGGGATATCTATGATAGTTGTTAAATTTTTTGAATTACGAGGTTAGCTCAGAGAGTTTCCAGAAGAACCAAAAAGAATCAATCTCATGGCATGACTGTATCAATAAAAATCTAGTCCAGTCCCCAAGGAAACAGAGGCTATATTAGACACCATTAATATTTTAATTATTAGCAGTTACTTCACCCATACCATTTCCAAGCAGGATTCCAGTTTTTTTCTACCTTTATTTTAATAACTACAAAGAAGGGAAAATGTTAAAGTAGAAAGCTCATAAATAAATAGAAAGTGCATAGGCTTTAGTATTTGCTAAATTTGGGAGTTCAAATCCTGGATTCACCACTAACTAGTAAAGTTCACCCTAATTAAATTAAATGGCCTCTCAAGGCTTTATGAATGATAACACATGGGTCAATGTTAATGACACAGATTGATCATTCAATAAATTAGTTTTGATAGAATTTCCAAATAATATAACTTCCAAAGAAAGACCTTGCTTGTTGTAAAATCACTACCAAGAATTGAGTGTTTTTCAGTATAATTTATGTTCACATATAAATATGTATGTGTACATAATTTTTGTTTTATTATTTTCAATACTAGAGACCCAGTGCATGAAATCGTGCACATGTGTGTGTGTGTGTGTGTGTGTGTGGTCCCTAGGCCTGGCTGGCAATTGAAACGCAAGTGTCTGGCATGGAAAGGCAGGTCCCAGCTGACCTGGGCAGCACCTGGACCCCCAAATCCCTGTGCACCCCCCTCCACCTCAGTCACGGTGCCCAAGTCCCCATGCAGAGATGCAGTGAGCACAGCTGGACCCCACGGGCCAGGCCAGGGCACAGTATGGGTGGATGGTTATAGTGCACTCTCCCGGCTGGCCTCGCAGACCGGCTCCTGTGTGAACCCATGGGGAGCTCGACCAGCCCCTGTAGTCCAAGCGGCTGTGGCCTGGCTCACCTGGAAAACACCGCACAGGTGCAGGGTGGGCTCCTCGCGGGCACCTGGCACCTGAGCGTGGGGACTTCCCCAGCGTGTGAGCCCTGGTGTCCGGGGGAGAGTAGCAGGGGGAGTGAGAGCGACTCGGTGGCCCCCAGGAGGCTGGCGAGAGGTCACAGCCCCATGTCATAGCGAGTGGTTGAACTCCCAGTCTCCCAGTCAAATGACCACCCAAAGGGACAATTTGCATATTAGGCCTTTATTATATAGGATATAAGATAAATTATTAGATCTCTTTTGTTTTGCAAGTATCCTACAGAAAAGATCAAACAATTCCCAGGAACTATAGGAAGAAAATCCCCACTTTAATACTAGGACAACAGGCAATTTAGAGAATAGTTCCCTTTATCCCACTAAAAGTGGTAAAAATATAAATTACCTCAAACCCCTTGCCCCCAATAATTCAATTTGCATTTCAACTAGCAGCTTGTAGCATCTGTATACACAAGCCAAATCTCATCCTTCTTCTAATCATTGAGCTATCTATGTTCTACACCTGGGAAAATAACAACAATATCAGATTTGGAGAAGAATAAACCACAGGATGAAACATTTGAAAATGAATCACTAACTATAAAACAAGTCTGGCAATGGAAGGACAATAGCAAAAAGTTACTTTCCATTAAAACTGAAAAATTATATTTTTAAAAATGTAGTTGGCTATAATGAAACTATAATAAATTGCTAAAAAGAATCTTTTGGAGACTAAACATTTTTAAATGGTTGGTCTAACTCTGCTTTTCTTTTTGTGGAGTCAATGCTTCCATGGGATAAGAGAATCTAAAACAATTTACATTAGTGGGAAAATATAGCTGCAAGGAAGAAACAACAACGTAATAAATCACAACCTTTCTCTCAGAAGAAAATAAATGTGTTGTTTTTAAAAACAAACAAAACAAAACAAAACAAAAACTGCTGTTAGGGCCAGGTACAGTCCAAATTTATTTCTGGAATTCCAGTGTTGTATAACTGAAGTATATTTCAATGGAGCTGAACATCAAGTTATATAATTATCAATTACCATATTCTATTTTGTTTGTTTGTTTGTTTTTTTAAGCAAATAACAAGATAGGAATGGGGTGACAATAAGAGAAGAAAATAATTTAAAGTAGCATATTTTTCTTATAGTTAAAAACAATTTTTATTTTAAAAATCATTTAGGTGAAAGGCCACAAATTTTCAATATTTTGTCCCAAGACTAAGCAATATAAAATGATTTTTAAAAACCTAAATTCTGCCTTGCTGGTGTTTCTCAGTGGTTGAGTGTCAACCCAGGAACCAAGAGGTTGCCAGATCAACAAGATTGGATTGTGGGTTCAACTCCCAGTAGGGGCCAGGCAGGAGGCAGCCAATGGGTGTTTCTCTCTCATCAATGTTTCTGTCTCTCTATCACTCTCCCTTCCTCTCTCTCTAAAAATCAATGAAAACGTATTTAAAAAATAATAATAAAAATAAAATAAAATAAAAACCTAAATCCTTTTTTAGTAATTTTTTTCAAGGTATTTTTAGATTTTTCTTTTATTAGAAATTTAAACCTTACTCAACAATCACTTAAGGTACTTTAAAAGATCATTAAAGAAAAATTATCAAATTTATATTCTTTCTTCCCATGGAGAACAGCACAAATGTTGAACATTCATTTTACAGAAAGTTTAAAAACAGTTATTCTCTTGTGTAGCAATAATCAGAAAATATATGGAATATATATTCCAGGCAACCAGCATCTGCATTTTTCATTTAAATTTAAAGCATCAGAGTATTAGTTGAATATTCCAAAGCTGTATTAGTAACCATAATAAGTGCTATTCATCTTAGAGCAAATGTATAATCTCTAAAACATGACTTAAATAGCAGAGTACAAGTTCTATCATTACAAGAGTAAACCAACCTGGGAAAAGCTAAGGGAAGAATTATAAATTAACTAAGTGGGATTTCCTATTTTCTTGTTCACAGGAAAAGTTTACAAATCAAAAGTTGTTTTACTTAAAGCTTTTTTAAAAAGCAACTAAATGAGATAAGAACTTCAAACTTTTTCTTGATGAATATAAGGGTGGGGCAAAAGTAGGTTTACAGTTAGTTATTCATATGGAAAATAATACAAGAATAAACTGTTTTGCGTTCTCACAACTGTAAACCTACTTTTGCCCCACCTTATATTTGGAAATCTTTGATTACACTAACAAAGTCAACAGAATATGCAGCGCACTGTTGATAAATAATACTACTATTATAGACTAAAATTAATAAAACTAAGACAACTAAGGACACCTAATAAAAGTTTCATTTAAAAGCTGTTTCTTATGAACTAAAGCTGGAAATGGTGGTGATAATTACCATGACTCAGAGGAGCTGCCCCATCCCTGGGCTTTCCTTCTTCAGCTGGCTCCTAGAACACAGGAAATGTGGTTTAGACCATATTTTTGGATAACTGTTTGAAACACTGAAAATTAACTTTTCCGTTTGCAGGAAGCCAAGCCATGAAAAGCACTGTAACGAAGGGGACAATATATCAAGAGTCAGGACCCTCCCGGTGGGTGTACCAATCCTAGGAAAGGCATACCACAATCCATTCAGACACAGGAGGAATCCTGTATTACTGTTGCGGGGAGGAAAATTAATTTTTCCTCCTGCCCTTTAAGTTCTTCTGGCTGAACTAATAGTCAAATTAATACGAGACAGATTAATAGGAGAAAATGAGCAAATTTATTACATATGTACATATGGGGGTTTCATAAAAATAGGAGACCCAAGGACAGATAGGCAGGGAAGGCTTATATGCTATCCTGAGCTAAAGAGAAAGGGGTACAGGGATTGTGGTTTGGCATTTCAAAGGACAGGATGGCAATTCACAGGGAGGTGGAAAAGAAAATGTTTGGTAAATAGAAATTTGGTAGACCATCTTTAATAATAAACATAGAGAGGACTTTGTTCAAAGGGGCCTTGCTAGATTCCTCCCTATCGCATCAGTTTATATTAAACTACTAGAGGCCCGGTGCATGAAAATTCATGTACTGGAGGGGTGTCCCTCAGCCTGGCCTGCCCCCTCTCACAGTCCAGGAGCCCTAAGGGGCGGGAAGCGACCCAGCAATCAGGGGAAGGCGACGCCCCCATCACACCTCTGCTGCTGCCACTGCCGGCAGCACAAGCCTCGTCCGGCCCTGGTTACCTGCGCGTTGGACAGCCCTGGGTGGCTAGGCAGCCACCGTCCAAAGCTTGCCTGTGCCTTGGGCCAGCCCTGGGCAGCTGGGGGGCTGAGGGGACTGGGGGACTCAGGAGGCATGTGCCCCAGTGGGGCTGAGGGGGACTGAGTGCCGCCATCTTGTGATTGTGGGCGCCACTATCTTTGAGGGCATGGCAGTCAATTAGCATATTCCCTCCTTATTGGCTATGGGCGCTGCCATCTTTGAGGGCGGGGCAGTCAATTAGCATATTCCCTCCTTATTGCCTGTGGGCACCACCATCTATGCAACAGCATGAGGGTCAATTAGCATATTCCCTCTTTATTAGGTAGGATAGTTACCTATGAAAATAGCTCCCTTCCTGGAGCACACCCTCTATCTAAATTTTGAGGACAGTTAAAGGGAAGGTCAAAGGTTTTGCCTGAATCTTCTTGTTTCTTGAAAATAACCAGGCAAATTTTGGGGTGGAAAACTCTGTTACCTGACAGTTCATATTTACCAGAGCAACTCCCTAATGAGATCCCTGGATCTGATAGTCACAGAAGAGGCAGCTGACAGGAGAGGGATGTCCCACACCAGAGCCAAGTCCTCCTTCCTTCCTTTGATTTTTAGCCTAGGCTCAGTTAAGAAAACATTCCCTAATTTTAGCCAAACTAACCTTCACAAATGGACAAATAACCTCAAAGATTTCTGGGAAGAAAATACAGACCAAACATGAAAGACAATAGAAGCAATCAATCAGAAGACAGCAGGCCTTCTCTTCATGGAGAAGCACTCACCAGGCATACTCAGCAATCTAAAGGAAAGCTGACCATTTAGCAAAGACTGAGGGAATCACTTCTAGTCTGAAAGATGCAGCAGCAAAGAGCATGTGTTACTGGGTATCTGACAGGTGTTTTATTTACATAACTAGAGGCCCAGTGCACAATGCATGCATCTGTGGGGTCCCTCAGCCTGGCCTGCGGGGATTGGGCTGAAACCAACATCCCATGAGGGGTCCCGGATTGCAAGAGGGCACAGGCCAGGCTGAAGGACCCCACCAGTACACAATCAGGGCTGTGGAGGAACCACGGGAGGGTTCCAGGGCATGTCCAGCATGTCTCACCCAACCTGATTGGCCAGACCCCAGCAGCAAGGTAACCTTCCAGTCAGAGTGTCTGCCCCCTGGTGGTCATTGCGCATCACAAAGACTGGTCGAATGGTCGACCTATCAGTCGGACACTCAGCATATTAGGCTCTTATTATATAGGATTTTGTGGCCATAAACAATGTATGCCCCTTATAAAAATTCATAATAATTGTACACTTCCAATTAGGGAACAGTTTCCCAATTTAAAAATCTTCTAAATGAAGGGTTTTGGTGGGCTTTGAACTCACTTTTGGAAGCATGAATATGTAATACTTTTATTTAGTTCCCAGAAAAAACTAATTGTTAACAGAGAAGGTAAAAACTCAGCAGCTGAAATCTAAAAAATAAACCTTTGTATTATTAATGGCTGACACTGAAAAATGAGTGTCATGATTTAATAATTTTGGCCAATAATCATCTCTTCAGTTTATTCCTCTATCTTTGGGACATGTTTTTTTAAAAAAAATACATATTTTTATTGATTTCAGAGAGGAAGGGAGAGGGAGAGAGAGAGATAGAAACATCAATGATGAGAGATAATCATTGATTGGCTGCCTCCTGCACATTCCTACTGGGCATGTGCCCTTGACTGGAATCAAACCTGAGACCCTTCAGTCTGCAGGCCGACTGCTCTATCAACTGAGAAAAACCAGCTAAGGCTGGAACATGTCTTTTTAAACTATAACTAGGGTGGACTGACCTTCCCAGTTTGCTTAGTACTATCCTGGTCACAATTCTGAAGTCCCATACCTAGGGACCCCTCAATTCTAGACAAACCAGGATGGTCAGTCATCTTAGCTATGACACCCATTAAAACCAACCCTAAAAATAGTAACCTCTGATAATAGTAACACAAAGCTTGGAATCAGGTTTTTGAAAAAGAATCATGAATATTAATATTTTGGTTAGAGTAAACTCATTTTTAAATGTTGAAATAAGCCCTAGCTGGTTTGGCTCAATGGATAGAGCATTGGCCTGCAGACTGAAGGACAACAGGGTTCAGTTCTGGTCAAGAGCATATGTCCAGGTTGAGGGCTCAATCCCCAGTAGGGAGTATGCAGGAGGCAGCCAATCAATGATTCTCTCTCATCAGTGGTGTTTCTCTCTCTCTCTCTCCCTCTCCCTTCCTCTCTGAAATCAATAAAAATGTATTTTAAAAAATAAAAATAAATGTTGAAATAAGTACTATTAATTTCATTTTTATATTATGCTTTTTTAGTTTCTTTTTTAGTCTATGGCTTTAAGGTACAAAATGCAATTTGTTTAGTAGTATATTATATAATTTTCAAATAAGCAAATAAACCACATATATCAGGATATGTGATTAAAGTTTCTTTACTGATAGGTAAAGCAAACCAACAAGTTTGAAACTGACTGCATCAGGCTGCATTTGCCCATATAGCCACATATAACTGAGTGTGATCTATTCTTGAGGTGCCTTAGCTTACTATCTTTCCATACATATAATTTATTTTAGTTTTTGAGTTCATATGGTTAATGCTAAAAATGTACATAGAAACAAATAGTACAGTGAAAACTCACCTACCTGTCCTCCCCCATCTGGCCAACTCATAATACCTCCACCCAGTAATCACTGTTATTAGATTGTAACATATCCTTGAGAAATTTTCTTTATGAAAATACAAATAAACATTTATATTCTTATTTTCTTGTTCTTTTGCACAAAAGGTATCACATCATAATACTGTTTCCTAGATCTCTTTTCACTTAGAGTGCCTTAAAGATCATTATCTTGTTATAAAGAGCATTCTTTTTTTCATAGCTATACAGCATTATCCTGATTGGATATTTCATGATTTATTTATCTGGCTCCATATTTACAGATGCTCAGGTAGTTTCCTATCGTTTTTCTGGTCATAAAAAGCTGCAATGAGAAACTAGTACAGATGTCAGCGTGCATATGCGCAAGGATGTCTAGGGAGTGGTCTCTCAGAAGTGGAGACTTGCGTTGTCCTGTTGGTAAGTGCCACCAAGTCTAGCTCCACACAAGCTGCTCCGTCGACAGTCCCACAAGCCTCAGATCAAGGCCTGTTTTCCCACTGCCTGGTCGAGAGGGGGTGTTATCAAATGTTTGGATTTTTGCCAAGATGACAAGTGAAAAATGATATCTCACTATAGTTTTAATTTGTACTTGTTTCACTAGGAGGAAGTTGAAGATCACTTTGTATGTTTAAAAGACATTTGTATTTCCCTTTCTGTGAAATAGGTCTTTACATGCTTGGTCCATTTTTCTGTTGGAATGATTATTCATCTTTTGCTCTTAATAAATCAGAAATATTATTTTCTCTACATTATGAGATGCATTATTGATTTTTTCCAGTTTGTAATTTCTCCGTTTCACTTACGTTATGGTATTTTTTAATATGCAGAGATTTTTGTTGTTGTTTTTTAAGAAATGAAACTATAGAACCTCTCTTTTATGGCTTCTAGATTTGGGTAATAGTTAGAAAAACTTTCTCAATTCCCAGATAATAAACCTCCTTTGTTTATGTCTATTACACTTAAAGCTTATTTCTTACATGTAAATCTTTGATAGATCTAAATTTGTACTAGGGCGTGGTGTAAAGCCACAATATTTTTGCCCAGGTGACCATTTAGTTGTCCTAAGACCACTTACTGAATAGTCCTTCTCCTCCCCATCAGTCTAGATGTGTGGATTACACATTAAACTCCATGTGCATTTGCTCCTACTTCTGGCTTGTCTCTTCACTTGTTTAGTTCGTTTATTCCAGTACCAGTGCCTTTACTTCTGTGAGCCTCAGTTTCCTAATCTGTCTTGGAGATAATAATAACATATTCACTGGATCATTTGAGATTTAGAGATCCACAGACATGGCACATGGCAGACTCTCGGCAGTAGCTATTACAGCTATTTTGCCAAATTCAAATTGCTAAGAATGTACACTGTCCTAATTATTTAGTCTGCCTACTTGTATTTACCGCCTGAAGAAACATATCTCAAATGAACAAAATCACTGATGAGAGAAGAATTCTGAGAGAAAAGTCAAGAAAAATCTTAAAATTCTAACTGAATTAATTACCTATTTTAAAACATTT